TTGGCGAGCTAATCGGTGTTTTTACACCAAGTAGAAGCAAAATTGACAAAGTTCCCGCCTGGCATTAGCAGGAAGCCCAGGGTGCGCTTTCCGACATGGCCAAAATTGACCAAATCGCATCAAATGTTAGGCAGTGTAATTTCGGGCGACTTTGGTGGCAGCTTAGAAGTGACTAGTTTCCGACAACTACAGAAGTCAGTTCTTCTACCGACTACCCGGTAGGCACTTACGCTTCTAAAACAACTAACAGAAATACTTAAAACGCTTTTTACATAGATCTACTAAAGTTGTTCGGGAAATGAGGACGACAGCTTACAGTTCGTCGATATGAGAGCACCCTCGGATTTCATTGCAGCTTATGCTATAATCACAAAAAACTAGGGACAGTGGCATCTCTACTTCTGGCCTAAACGTCATCATACAGCCCTACCAAAACCACATTACATTCGGCTTCTAACTGGAGACCGAGGCCAGATAGAAACGTCCATGGCTTACTTTACAACCAGGATAGATTATCTAAAGCTATCCCTAAGTAAACTTAAAGATTACTGATCAAGGCCGAACGCAGTCCTTGTCAATAAATCCTTTGATGACTATGATAGGTGAATAACAGCAAAGCCCGCCGATGTAACGGTTGATAACTCACAGACTTAGAGGAAAGAAAAATGGGCAGGTGCTACGGCTACCCAAGTTGTCAGGGAGAACAGATAATAAGGATTTCAGAGATCTCTAGCCTTGTAATGATAAACTGGTAAATAGGATGCAGAAGGCTCGGTCAGCACATTGGACGCCTTGTAGACTGTTTGATGACAGTAGGATATCCTTACAAATGCAAGCATAAATGAATTAACTATACCTTAAATTAGCCCCACCTGCTTAACTTATACAACCAGCTAAGTCCCTGAACAGCGGATTCTGCAGAGCACGCATGAACACAAAAATAAGGAACACAGACACATTGCTCGCTTGGATAAGACAAAACCGTGCCTTACCCGCTAGCATGCGAATATTAATATATCGTCCTTAACGGAGTATTTGAAGATGTGGTCATCGGCGCGCTACGCCGCAAACCCTACCCGTCTCAGCCAGGTGCACTTTCTAGACGGCTCATGGTAACAAGTTTCATAGGACAGAGCATTTCTTGGATCCCATTATTCTGGTGGAGAGGCTGGTACATGCACTGCGCATCGAGAGAGGAATAATGTTTTACTCCTGCAGCAAGGCTCTTAATGATACGCCTGGTCGGCATAACGTAAAAAAAACACCTTGTGCACTGACCAGGGTCCAACTTGTGCGTTTGGTAAGTCGCCACCGAGGACCATAAATGTGCGCCTTCGAGCTGATACTGTCACAATAATAATCACTACGATGTATGCCCAAAATCTGGACGTAGAA